CTTCCCAGCAATTTCTTCCCACTCCCTCAGCTCCGCCATTACCTCTGACTCTCCCAAGCCTTTGCACTGCTTCTGAGGTGTGCAGTAAATACGTTTCTGTATTACAGTTTAAATGAATTACTCAAAGTTCTGTGTTAATATGCCTAATAAGGAATCTATTTGTCAAAAAACATTTCCTGAATTTTTTGTTGTTGCCTGTATTGTTACAGACATACTTGCTGACAGGTATTTTGAAATAAATTACCAAAATAACTGAAACTGGTAATTTATTTCAGATTATATTGTGTTCTTTTGACAAATAAAATATGCAGAATTTTAAAATATTGTGCACAGATTTTTAAATATTTTGGCACAGAACTTCCCTAGGAGTATATTACTTACTTGAATCCTGCATGTAAGTACAGTGTAATTACTAATATGAGTCCTCCTAGCAAGTGGATTCAATTAGCTCTGATCAGGATACTAGAGGGGCTGAATCTTTTCGTAGAGGCAACAATGGTCAGAGACAGGGAAAATTCTACAAATAGCCAAGCTTGTGGAAAAAGTTTATGTTGAAGTTTATATTGAGTTGTTATTATCTGAGTTACCAATAAAGCTAAACCCAAGACAGGGGGTAAGTTTTCAGTGTGCGTATACTCTGTTCAGAGAAAAGTGGGAACTTTACTTACTGACATCTTTGTTTTTCTTCTGCTCTTTTTATGAACCCAGATCCATACTCTCTATGGTTGGCCAGAGGGAAGCCAAAAATTGGAGGAAACTTGTCAATCAAAAATTCAGTTGAAGAAGTTAAAATCATTATGTTACCACACTGTGGCCCCTGGCCCTATCTTGTGCTTGGGACACCAAAAGGTTATACCTACTTTACACTTCTCAGATCAGTATGTTGAATAAAAGGGAAATAAATTGCAGATTTATTTTCCCCTTATTATTTAAAGAACTGTTAACTATAATTCATTTAAAAGTAATAAAAAAAACAAAAAACTCTCTGGGTGTGTGTGTGTGTGTGGAAGGCGTGTGGAAGGCCGAGTTTCCAAAGACTTTTAGTGTTTTTCTTTTGACTAGCATGTTGATCTATAACACCAACTGGGTGATGCTCTGGAAATCAATGAATTGAGCTGAAGTTGCTCTAACCTGAAGACAGAAACTAGAGATTCAAAATATAACAAACCTAACAAAAAATGTGTATTGGATTTATATTGAAGTTGGAATGAAACACAGCTGGAATACAGTATAAGTTTTTTTTGCTGACTTTCCCCCCCCTAGTCTCAGCAACAACTCTAGAGGACAAATTTTCAAAAACTGACCAGTTAAATTACACCTGTGACATTTGCACACACATCCTTTGTGTATGGAAATACACATTTACACATGCAAAATGGATAACTGCATGCACACGTGCCATTTGCATGCAGTTACCTTTTTTTTTTCTTTACAGTCTATAAGGGAAATCATCTATCTTGAAAGACAATGGGGTAAGCATCAAAGCAGTCCAGTTACTATGTGTAATGCTGCAGCATTGCAAGTGGCTAAAAAGTCCAATTTGCAATCAGAAACAGTCCTTGCCGAAATTGCCAGAGACACCACAGACATAAGGGCCTGAGGATAAAGCCAGTGCACTACTAGTATGTCAGGTCTGCTGCAATTTTCTCTTCACTCTCTCTGCTTTCTGCTCTGGTTGAATGTCTCATTGCAACATCAAAAAGTATCATACCACTAAGAATATATACCACAGGTGGCTTTGCCAACATCATCAGTACACATAACCCAACACTTTCCTCCATTTCTGAAGAGAAGAACTTGTTCTATCAGCAAGTCAACAGCGTCATCAGTAAGATACCACTAGACGAGCGACTCTATCTATTGGGAGATTTAAACACAAGACATCTACCAATGTGATATATGCCATCATGTGCCAGCAATGCCCCTCTGCCATGTACATTGGCCAAACCGGACAGTCTCTACGCAAAAGAATTAATGGACACAAATCTGACATCAGGAATCATAATACTCAAAAACCAGTGGGAGAACACTTTAACCTGTCTGGCCATTCTATGACAGACCTGCGGGTGGCTATCTTAAAACAGAAAAACTTCAAAAACAGACTCCAACGAGAGACTGCTGAGCTGGAATTGATATGCAAACTAGACACAATCAACTCAGGGTTAAATAGGGATTGGGAATGGCTGAGCCATTACAAACATTGAATCTATCTCCCCTTGTAAGTACTCTCACACTTGCTTCTTATCAAACTGTCTGTACTGGGCTATCTTGATTATCACTTCAAAAGTTTTTTTTCTCTTACTTAATTGGCCTCTCAGAGTTGGTAAGACAACTCCCACCTGTTCATGCTCTCTGTATGTGTGTATATATATCTCCTCAATGTTTCACTCTATATGCATCCGAAGAAGTGGGTTGTAGCCCACGAAAGCTTATGCTCTAATAAATTTGTTAGTCTCTAAGGTGCCACAAGTACTCCTGTTCTTTAAACACAAGAGTTGGCTCAGATCATGAGACATGGCCACTATGCATTGGCCTCAATGGAGTGGGAAAAATGAACAACAATCGGCAAAGACTACTGGAGCTCTGCACTCACCAAAGACTGTGCATTACCAACATCTACTTCCAAGGAAGTCACCACTGGAAGGTCTCATGGACACACCCCAGATCTGGAAACTGGCACCAACTAGATTTAATTGTCACGTGTAGAAAACAACTACTGGATGTTCTCCGTACTTACAGTTTTCAGAGTACAGACTGTGACATAGACCATGTGCTTGTATGCTGCAAAATAAGGCTTTCACTACAGAAATGTCATTGTACCAAACAAAGCTGTTGCCCACACATTAACATCGACAACACAAAAGACCAAGGAAGGTGTCTCAGAGTATAGTAATTTCATGAAAATAATATATAGTCTGTTTCTGCCAAATGGACTGAACAAATCAATAGAAAACTCTCTTTTCTAAATACCACTTTGTATGCCATCCATTTATGGCTTTGCTAAGGAGATTTGTGCTAAGGCGATTTCTGTAAAACAAACAGTAAGGCATCTGCAGGACTTCTTAGTCCTGCCAGTTGGTCACCATTGTTAGGTCTGAAAAGCCAAAGCCACTTTGACATCTGCAGTGTATGAAACCGTGACTGGCATATGGAATATCCATATTGGTTTAGTATGAGAAAGGTTTTTCAGTGAACACAGAGTCAGAAAAGAGTGTAATTAACAAACTCCACAAAATACTTTTATGGGGCACTGTGCTGCTGGAGGTACAATCCTTTGGGTGAGATGTAAACCCAGCCTTAACTGTATGAGGTCATTAAAGATCCCATGGTGCCTTCTGGAACAGTAAGGGTGTTAACCATTTTAATTATCTTGCTCACTCTCCAATATATTAAATCACATTCCACTTGCCTATATTTCTCTTGCACCTTCAATTAGATACAGTATTTTCATTTGTTTCCTGCCCTGGACTGTAATGTAATGTTTCTGTATGCTATTGAAACAGCTGCTATGGTCTGTCCCAAAGTTAGATACATTTCAGTTGTGAGCGACATCTCTATGTACCTTCTACTTGCCCCAGGGGACTGTTATTGGAGTTATACGAGGTCTACACTACAAACTGTTGCTGGGATAGCCATGACAGTTATAGGTGTGATTTGTGACTGATGTAGCTGTGCCAGCAAAAGCCCCTAGTATAGACATAGTTATACAGTATATACAGTTAAAAAAAAAATATGCTTTTGCCAGTATATCTTATTTTGCTCGGGAGGGATGGGGGGCAAGAATAAATTATGCCAGCAAAAGTAGAGTTTTGTTGGTATAAGCTGCATCCACACTATGAGCACCATACGGGAATACTAATGCCAGCAAAATTCTCCTAGTGTAGACCTGGACTTAGTCAGGGTCAAATCCTACCATTAGATACATTTGTACTAATTCTTTGTGCAAAATTTGGGCCTTACTGTTATTTATTGTTACTTAGCATTTGTTGAGAGCGACCTTATGCTTGGTTCTCTACAGAATATGAAGAAAATACCATCCCTACCCCAGGGGAATGAGGTCTAAGAAAATAAACATAGACAACAATTAAAACACAAAAAACACCATTTAATCATATAGTGGTGCAAAAAATTACAGCAGCGCTTTTTAGTTTAGGCTTTGTTTTTCATATCTCACTGCACACTAAAGAGAGGAGAGGTGTTAACATTGATGGCCCTTGTGAAATAACTTATTTAAAATGGGACTTTAAGGGGGTAGGGTAATCTTGGTATCAATGGCAAAGAAAAAGCAACTGTTCAGAAAGATTGAATGTTTGTAAAATGCTTCGAGGTCTTTGGACACACGCACACAAAAAAAAACCACTTTAGAAGTGCACATTAATATTATTTAGTATTAATACGAAAAACTCCTGGTGGTCTTCCTCAGTCCTCATTAGTATCATGCACAATTTGCAAATATATAAACACACTTCCTACCCCTGCTCCTGTGAGTTACATCTCAGATCAAAGTGAAGGGCTGAGAGGCTGGGACAGTATGAACGCAGAAGATACATCATATCATTGACATAAATACCTCTATCATTAGAGGGCCTGCCCGAGAGAGCTGGGCAAGCAGGTCTGCCCGAAAGAGTTTTATCCCCTAAGCAGGGAGAGACCTGGGGCAGTCTCCCTGAAGGACTCTCTTGCTGTAGCCAGGGTGAAACATTGGGGGGGAGGAGCAGCTCTGTCCGAGGGAGTCTCTCCCCGGAAGAGGGTGGTGGTAGGGGGCAGAGCAGCCTGAGGGAGTCTCTCCTCCAGTGACGGGTAGCGCTGCCTAAGGCAGGCTCGCTCGCCGCCCGGAGGGGGGCGGTGCTGCCGCTCCCTTTGCTGAAGTAGCTCCCAGGTGGCAGCGCCCCGCTCTCCCCAGCCCTTTCCCCTCCCTCCGCACCTGTAGCGCGCAGCGCACCCACAGGGCAGGCAGGAGGCGAGTCCCTACTGAGCCGCCGTAGCGCCGCAGCTCTGCCCGCTCCCTCCCTCCGCCTTTCTGCCGGGTTGGGGTATCGCGCCGCCGCTTCCTCCTCTGCAGCCCTTCGGCCGCGGCCCTGACGTCGTTTCCTTCCAACATGGCGAGCGCAGGTTGTTGCCGCCGCCGCTAATGGAGGCTGGTGCGGGCGGGCGACTCCGGGGCTGAGAGCGCCGCGGTCAGAGCTACCTGCCGAGCGGGGCTGCAGCGCCCAGGCCGGGCCCGTCCCCGGGGGCCTCGCTCACGGCGCGGTGACCTGCTCCGCTCCCCCCTCCCTGCCCCCAGCGGCCGGGCGGCCACAGTTCCGGACTTGCAGCCGCCCGAGTGCCCCCCTTGCCCGGTCCCCGCTGCCTCCCCCCGGCGGGAGCGGCCGGTCCCCCCGATCGCTCCCATGTATGAAGGCAAGAAGACGAAGAACATGTTCCTGACCCGGGCTCTGGAGAAGATCCTGGCCGACAAGGAGGTGAAGAAGGCGCATCACTCCCAGCTGCGCAAAGCCTGTGAGGTGGCCCTAGGTGAGAGCCGGGGTGGGAGCGGGGGCTGGGGCAGGCGGTGCCCCGGGCTGACTCCCCTCCCCTCAGGCCCCCCTTTCCCTAAGCCGGGTGATGGGGGAGACAAGGCGGCGGTGGGGGCCGTTCGTTGATCTGAGAAAGGGGGAGTGATCTGGGGGTGCACAGGCATTGGGGAGCGGAGGGGGCTGATGGAGGGATTGGAGGGGGAGAAGGAGGGTTAGCTGGGGGCTGGTGATCGAAAGGCAGCATAAGACAGGGCCTTTGTGATCAAGCAGAAGATGTGGCCGTGCTGGTGTTTGTGGTGCTGGGGATGGGAAGAAAAGAGGTATGTGTGTGGGGGAAAACCAAAGGCTTTTGGTTATTACACTGCAAGCAACTACTGGTGTGTTTGGATCTCGGAGAGAGAGAGGTTGCCCCTTGTTGACAGCGAGGGGAAGGGATGCAGTCGGTTGCCTGGCGGGGTATCACCGCCCCACACGTCCAGGATGAATAGGCAGAGAAGAAGGTGTGTGTGCTCTGAGCTGACCTGGAAGAACAAGGCCGCCGGGGAGGGAGCAAGTGACAGGCAGCGATAAAGGGGGAGGGGAGAGAAAGAAAAGGGGATGATGGAAAACAAGAGACAATGACACTGAGGCCACGTCTAAAATTGATGTCTCTTCTTGAATTAGGAAGCTATTCTATAGAGAAGAAGAATGAGGGTGGAGGAGATTCAGTCGATAGCTGTCTAAAAGGAACCTCTGTAGTGTGTGTATGGAGAGAAAAATAGCTGCTAGGAAACGGGGTTTCTTTCATGTATTGCAGAGTTAATGCAACCACAGTGAAGGGAGATACATTGTGGGGATGTTCATGTTGCTCTAGATGAGCGAGGTGTTAGTTGTCTGACAGCTGAGTGTATAGTGGAGATGTTTATGTTGCTCAAGATGAGCGAAGTATTAGGTGTGTGACACAGCTGACTGTATAGGGTTTAGGTGAGGAGATACTGAGAAGAAAAAAGGGTTGGATGTATGAAACATGCATTTTGGGTTAAATATCATGGTGTAATGAGCACGGGCCCAGGTACTGATCTCTGGACTGAGAAATGACCGCACATTCATAAAGATCAATGTATCATTTAATTGGAAGAAAATCTACCTTTGATTTGTTTGGATGTAGTCTTTTTATCTTTAAATTGGCAATATTGTCAGTGTTGTTGAAATGATTTTATCTTATGAATTTTTGGTAATATGTTTATTTTAAGTAGATTTAACTAAAAGGACATCATTAACCTGAAATTTACTTAAAAAAATCAATTACAAGTAGTTTCATGTACTATACCAGCTCATGAGTCTTTCTGCTACTTTTGTCATTTTAAAATCACATTTTCCTTTTTAAAAATAAAATATTTGTCTCCTTTGTTTGTGATATACCCTGACCAACATAGGAAATTGGATGTAGTGAAATTGGCTATTCACAAACTGCTGTCAAACACACACAGTAACCAAATTGAAGAAAGTATTTAATCTCTAATCTTTCAGTTATAGTTTTTTTTTTTAAAGACAAAAGTGGGATAATGTCCATTTGACTTACAACATAGATTACGCATTTACTCTTTATTTACAACTTTAATAAATTCAATTAACTAAATATAAAACATGCAGTTTAAAAAATGGAGTTTATATCCAGACCATCTTATGTGGAATTAATTGGACAGTAGGAAACTTCATGAAATTACACTTTATTTCAGAAATTGAATTATTTATTTGTATCCCTGGAGCATCCAGATTCTACTACCAGGATGTTGGTCCCATTGTGTTAGGTGCTATAAAAATATAAACAGTTCTTGCCCTAAATATCTTGCAGTCTAATCATGCAAACTGATCTGTGCTGGCAGACCCGTACTCACAATGACCCCCATTGATTACTGTGTCAGTGTTGAGCTTTACTGAAACCTTCAACTGTGGTTCTAATTCCAAGATTGGCATCTAAATAGGGACAAGACATGACACATGGGTGTGAAGACGGCAGAGGACAGGAGAGTGAGATAGATAAGGGCAATACAAGATTGTATATATTATCTAATATATAAAATATGAAGACTTCATGGGTCTTTTGAATAGGATAATCAAACAAATGATATTAATAAATTATAGTGTTTTTACTGTAAAAAATGTTTAGACTGATGCAATAAAAACCTTAATGGGTGATTGTTTGGGGACTCAACATTTTTATGGCCCCATCTTCTAATTATAACAGTGATATTTAGCTCTTGAATAGCCGTTTTCATCCATAGATATCTAAATGCTTTACAAAGGAAGGGAAATATCATTTTTCCCATTTCACAGATGGGAAACTGAGGTATGGAGTGAGATGTCTCACCCACACCACATCAGTGGCAGAGCTAGGAATGTGGTTGATTCCTAGAAATGTTCTGATTCCTAATCTATTCCCCTATCAGCTCGGACTGCCTCTCCATATTATTATAGAAGTCTTTTAATTGTAATTATGTAAATCTCGGTTTTTACTTGCTTCTAAAACCAAAAACATTACCATCTTGGATTTTTGGATGTTGAGTGCTAAAACCAATTGTTAAGGAAACTTTAGTGAGGCCTTACATAATGATTTAAAGCTACTGCAGGTGATCTGCTGAGGAGTTGATTTTGTTTTTCTTAGTTAAATGGGATTTAGCTTTTACCTAATGTTATTAAAATTCATTGTATATATTTAAATTAGCTAAAATATTGTTGTCAGTCTGAATAGTTAATTCATGAAGATCTGGTTAAATTATTTCATGAATTTTTTAAAAAGCTTTGTCATTACTATTTTGGGATCTTCCCAAGCACAGCAGTGCCAATGATATAATAATAGGATATTACCTGCTGACAGTAGATTAGAAGAATACTGTAATTAAAATCAGTTGTGACTCTGATCCAAATATTAGTTCTGCCTGGGTCCTTGTTTTTCTGGATATATTGTAGTTAATACAGATCTGCATATTAAACAGAAGCTAAAAAATATTTTAGCCAAGGAGTTTTTGGACCCACCTTTTGGCAAGAGCCTTTAATAACAACAACAAATACATGTGTGCCATGGAACCAAAGGAAGGTGGACAGAGAATACCTTTTGGTCTCTTTATGTTTTGTTTTTAACTGTGCTCTGTGCTAAAAATATCAAATGCTTAGATGCCTTAGAAATATGTAACATATACAATACTGATATAATATGAAGGTCCCTACTCAGCTGTTTACATTTACTGCTCAATCAAAGTGAACAACTAAAGGCATAAGGAAGGGGTGGGGGGACACCGTGAATCTTAAACAGTAAGATTATAATAGACTCTATCTGTAAAGAGTTTGAAGTGCACATAATAACCAGCTGCTGTTTACACTGTTTGCTTCATACAGGTACATGTGGCCACCATTAGACAAGCCTCTCTGCTTTTTTTCAATAATTAATTATTATTTTTTTGGTTCAAATTGTCGGGTTGGTGGGGTCCAATATTTGGTCTACTTAATGTTCCTTATATTAGATCTGGCTGTAAATTTTACATCTTTGTTTCTAAAAACAATTTTTCGATGTTCCTTTTGTTCTGTTTTTCTAAAATCATGCGGTCAATGTCAGGAGCCCAACATGTATAAATAACAAGTTAAAAAAACAAAAAACTTCTAGCATACTCATGTACTAAGCAAAGAAATTACTAAGAAAACATTTTGAGATTTCAAGGGGTTATTGTGAACAAAAGGAAGTTAAAACCTTTAAAACAGGAATATTGTCACTCCTTACTTTTAATCCCTACATATTGCTTGGCATTCTTTACTATTACATTTTTCTTAGAATCTTACTCTGTAGTGTGTGTTGCTTTAAAAGCGTGAATGAAGGAAACTATTTTCTGGGGTATTAACTATGATTGAGTTTTCTTTCTTCCAACCAGGAGTGAAGATGAGGTTCTTTTAATGTAAACATCTTCATTTACCAGTTATTAAAATGTAAATTGAACCTCTTTTCGTGCACACAAAATGATTTGAATTATAGCTATGTTTTCTTAAGGTTTTTTAATCCAGCAGAATTAAGTCTGGTGTTTACATTCCATCTTACTCTCCCTCCCCCCCATTAAAGCTTTTTACCTGGATTCTGGTCTGGTGTGCCAAGTTGTGTGGGGTTTCATACAGAACACTGTCAATTAAGTCTTGACATTTTCCCTTTTTTTTACATTCCATTGTTTGTAATGCTTCTAAGAAGCCTGAACATTTCATATATTCTTTCCCACACTCCTTTACTATTTCTCGTGGAACACAGGCGACAAAAGAACTGTACATTGTTTACTTATTTGTGCACCAATATCTTTTAAAATGTTAGCAGGAATGTGTTCATCTTTTGAATTGTCTGTTAATTTACTGCCTAATGCAGACAATAGAATTAGATCTCCCAGTATTCTTAGTGGGGAGCAGGCAAATGATTGCTTCCGTTTTGTGGTTGTAATTTTCAGTTTTTCAACTATATTGCCAGATTATTGCATTATTAAGGTAAATTGAAATGTGTGCCTAATCTACTTGGGTATCCTTACATTATTTTTCAGTTGCATGTTAACAGGATTTTAACTTTTTAATTGAAATAAAATGTTTAGTATTAAACATTTTTTTTTTTGAGTTAGTGTGTGAACCTGAATAGCTGGAGAGAGAGTTCACAGAAAATAAGATTCCCTTCTGGCATTTGTGGTTTATATACAGTACTTGTGTAACCACAAATTAGAATTACCTCTGGCCATATTCCCTACAACCATCTTAAATCTGTAAACTCCAAATAAACAGTATAGAATTAAACAAAACAAGAACTACTCATCTGCTTGAAGTTCCATGATCTTCTGAATTGGTGACACTGAAAACCCTGCGTGGAATTTAATCCACAAAAATCCATGCTGTTGTCTGGGTTGGCAAGGCCTCCATTTATGACCCCACTGGGTGAGGTGTGTCATGGCTGTGGAACCTCCTGCAGGGAAGTCTGTTCAACCTTTGTACCATGTCACATGCACACACTGTGTG